TTTTTCTCCTAAATTCCATTCCAAGAATAATTTTGACAAAAATAAGTTTGACAAAAATTACATTAGAATTACAATTACATTTTAATAAAAAAAAAAAACCAAAAAACAAGTATATGTAATTGGATTCATAAAACTTTAACAATTTAATAATTTACTAAAAAAATTTTTTTCAGAAATACAGTGGGCTAGATTGTAAAAATTGTGGTAATCAAATGAACACTTTGGCAAATTCTGTGACATTCTGCATTATACTGTAAATTGCATTTTTATGGCTGGTTCCATGATCTTGCAAGTATATGACCCTAGTCGTGCCACAGTGTTCATGCCGGCAATGTGAGTCGGACTCAATCTTTTCCTCCATTCCCATTCTGCCAATCATTTCCTCTCTTTTGCCTCTAGTGACCCTACCGATAACAGTGGTCACAAATTAAAAATAAAAAAATAAAAATGTAAAACTACCTCCTGATGCTCTGGAGACATCATCATCTCGAGGAGATTAATTTGCAGTGAGCCGTGATGTATTTAGAATTAGAATCTTGCTGAGTCTTGAGACTCATTATGGAAATGTATATATGCAGGTTGGCACACTGAAATCGTGTTCCCAATCCGAGAGATCAATGCTGCGCGAGAGCAGTCCATAATGATGGGGTGAGGGAATAAAACGTTAGCGAGAACGAGAAGAGAGAGAAACAGAGAATAGGGGAAAGAATGAGAGAGGCAGAGCAGCATGACGTGCTTTCCTATCTATGGATGACTACACGTATGCATCATTATGCCTCTGAGCTTTTAGAATTAAACTGCCTTCATCAAACACTCAGCAGGGTGGCCCTCCTCGCACTGTTCACCCCAACGTGAGGGAGGCTTCAAGACTTCAAACATTTCAGTTGTTTCAGAACATAAACTCTTTCATGCTTTTTGCCCCAGTGCCAGTCGGAGCCGTAATGAGTCGAGCCGCGGTTTGAGAGCTGAAGGGAGAAGGGATCACACTGCTATTCAGCTCCAGCTGCTACAGCCAGGATGGAGCTATCATGGGCCCGGACACTTTTCCTGCAGCAGATATTACAAGAAATGTTCCACCAGAGATACGAGGAATAGAGACAGCAGAGGATCCTGAGAGTCCTGCAGCGAAACAGCAGCAGAACTAGAGCTACAATACAGTGACCAAATACGTACTAGACGATACTACCGTTTATTTTTAGGTAACAGTCTCATTAGGCTGATATTATAAGCAGCTCATTGGAACTTTATTATTATTTTTATTCACACAGCGTACTTTGTTTATAGGTTTCAAATGTATTAAACTTAGTCATCTGTTTAAATGTAAATCATAACATTGCCCGATTTCCTTGCAGCAAATACATTTTCTATTATAGCAAATATACTCACCATAAAAATAATTGCTACTGTTATCATAACAATACACAAGCTAGTAAGCAACTAGAAACAGTTTTGCTAGTTTTGCTAAATCCTACCTACAGTAATTACTGACAATAACTCACTACTCTTTCTTAATCGTATTTATGAATTTCGTATATACTGTAATTAACTTAATAAAAAAACGAATTATTAAATTACTATTAATAAGATTTTTATGCATGGTATATAAATAAAACATACATTACCGTTCAAAAATGTGTTTACAAATTAACAAACAAACTAATACTTTTATTTAGCAAGGACACACTAAATTAATCAAAAGTGATGAAAAATACATTTCAAGTACATTTTAAACTTTCTATACATCAGATAATTCTGAGGACAAAAAAAATTACAGGTACTACAAAAATATTAAGAATGTTTTCGACATTAATTGTTCATTGATGATAATAAGAAATGTTTCTTCAGTATATTAGAATGATTTATGAATAATAATTTGACAGTGAGGACTGAAATGGAGAATTCAGCTTTGCCATCACAGGAATGAATATTGAATAAATTTTTTTAATATATTAAAACAGAAAACAGATATTGTAAATTGTAAATATGTTTCACAAATTTATAGTTTTACTGTATTTATCATGAAATAAATGCAGCCTTGACCCCAAACTTCTGAATGGTAGTGTATATTTACAATAAATGTAATATATTCATTCAACCTAAATTAGCCTAACCTGAAAACATAACACAGAAACATCCAATACTCCCTATATTACATTTATTCACAACTGTGATGGCTAGAAATATTGTTACTAATTAAAGGTCTCTTGGTAACACTGGTGGTAGTAACATGAACCTATATTGTCCATACCCAAATCTATGCCCATAACTACAGAAGTTGGAAAAAACTAAAATATATCATCCATAAGCAAAAACCACCTCTTATGCATTAAAACCGAACAGAGCATGACATCCAGACAAAAATAACAGAAATAATCATTTGACTCATTCTTTGGGAGTGGTTCAACATAGCCTACCGGATTTTGATTTAAGAGCAGCTGCTAAAGTAAGCAAACCAAACAAGTGTTGGACAGAGTCATGTATTCAAACCAGAAGCCTATTTTGAGTTATATTGATTTTATATTGAAAATCTTCTCCAAAGGAAAACTTGCACAACTCAAATTTAAAACAATACATTAGGATGAACAAAATATTACATTGAACTGGTTAATTGAAGATGATATCAAGACCAAGGGTTTTTAAATTGGGGTCCAGGTACTGCCAGGGTCCACAAGGGAGTGGATGAGGGTACATGGAAAAGTTTAGAAAGGCAGTGTATATCTAAATAAACTAATGCATTTGATTAAAATAAATAAAATAACATTTAATCAATAACAAATAACTAGAACAAAAAGTAGTGATAAATGACATTTAATTTAAATACATTCGATTCAAATAAATTGATACAAGTAAAAATATGTATGTTTATTTATAGTAATAAAGTAAATAAATAAAGTTAAAAAAAAGTTCATAAACATAACTAATAAACAAAAATATTAAAACAAATAAATTAATTGATAAAAGTATATAAAGTTTGATTTAAATAAATAATACGTTGAACAGTAGTAGCTACTTTTGTAGCATTTTTTTTTTTTTTTTACATCTAACAGTATGCTATTAAACATTTTAGGTTAAAAAAAAACACAATGTAACAATCAAAACAAAATATTTAGCAAATAATATTTACAATCTAAATTTTTCAAAGTATTAATTGGGCCTTAATACATAGAAATATACTGTATATCTGTCTTTTAAATTTTAGGATGGGGGGTCCCATGCTAGACAACAGGGTGAAAAATATAAACTTGAGAAATGAGCAATTAATACCTACATAAATTCATGAAATCAAATGAACACAGTACATTCACACTTATGCTATTTCGCCATGGCAGGTTATTTGGCCATGCAAATCCTATAACATCTTAAAATGTCATTATGTTGATATAATATATACCCATCAAACCTGAAAATAAAGCTAGAAAAGAATTTTGCAGCCAAGTCATCAAAAGGCCAGGAATAAAATCAGAAAGCAGTACCTTAAAAGAAACCTCATACCTGACCCCGAGTGTAAACAAGTAAAGGACAAAATGAGGAGAAATCAATTGGCAAGTCCTCTTTAAACGCTATAAAGAAGAGTCCACCTCAGGCCAACTCAAAGGGGAAACAAAGGCAAACAAAGACTCTGCTATTCAAGCAGCTCAAAACTGCTTACTCCTCCTTTTCCCACATTTTCACATTAGTCAAGCCAAGATATGAGACACACAAAATTTGGCTGTGATGATGAACGAGTAGCTGGGCTTGGAAAAAAAAAAAAAAATCCTACACCCCCTACCCACTCTCCAATATGCCTCCCTCGCTTGTAGAGGGCAGAGTAAACCTTAACAGATATATTAAGCCCTAACGACAGGGAGTCAAAATACTGCCCTTCTCAGCACCCGCAGAGCAGAAGGGCAGGAGAAAGAAGGAGGAAAAGACAAAAGAGGAAGAGGAAATATGAAGAAATCAGTTTAAAAATGCAGGAGGGGGAAGCAGAAAGTTGCTGCTTCACCACTTTGCCTGATTTGTGCTCAATATGATCATTTCTCTGCTCCTCTGCTGCAGGGGAGAGGAAAAGGTCAAATACACATCATATTTTCATGCGAGAGAGCGAGAGAGAGACCATCAAGTAAGACAGGAAGAGACAAAGAGAGACTATCTAGAGACTGTCTAGACTCTGTCTAGCAGTTCACCTGACATTCAGAAACACTGCAGTAAATTATGAAGACAATTCAGAATCATTACTATAGCTTAATAAAATAGTAAAAATAATGTTATTTTAATTCATCTATATTATTTGCAATTATTATTAACACCCATGATTCAACCTGATACTTCAAAAACCTGTTCAGAAATATAAAATAAAAACAAAAATAGGCTATCTAAATATAAAAATATAAAAAGCTGCATGTGTAACTTAAAATGTAAGTAAATAAAATAAAAGTATCTAAATTAATGATCTAAATTTAAGGATCTAAATTAACGATGAAATGTTATAAAAGAACCTTAGTGTTAATTAAAAAATAAAAATAAAAATAATAATAATAATAATAATAATATAAATTAATAAACGAGCTAACGCAATTTAGATGCATTTAAATTTATTTAGATGAATCAAGAAATAAACAGCGCCACCTTTTCAAATATCAAACTTTATATCAGCTACTTTTGTTTAACGTTCAATTATTATTATTTGCTTCCACAGAATAGTTTATCATTATAAGGGCACGCGTACAGCGTCACGACCACGCGCACTCGGCTGCGTTCACAATCACAATGGAACGGACACCCGCGAGGATAAAACACAAGAGGCATTCTGCTAGAACATTGATGCAAAAACATGTTTATATGAGAACAGCGTCTTGTTCTTGCCGTGCAGCTTTAAAAATAGCCGTCTCTGGGTCAACATCGTTTTACTGCGCCAGCTGGTAATACAGATGCTCGAGTTGGACGCGAACACTAGGATTTTTGCCAGAAATCAACATCACTGGGTGCTGTGAAAGGCAGTTTCATTAATGCATCAGTACCTCTTTTTTCTTCTGACCTCCTCCAGACTGAAGACATAGCAGCAGAATTAACAATATGGATGCAAACAGCAGGTTGAATGGAACTCCCTTGAATACCACCGCCATGATGGAAGATGCTCTTATCGCATCAGTACTGCTGAGCGCTTTGATTGGCTACAATCGCCTCCAATCAGAGGCCACACTATCGCTTTGTGGGACTTGTAGTATTTGTTGGGATTTCAAAATGCATGAAATAACAAAGGAAATACCATGTAAAATCATTCTAAATGATTCAGGAGTCATTCAGAATTATATATTTTTTTCTTGTAAACACGTTTTATAAATATAGTTTTGTCACAGCCTTAGTACTGTAGTAAGTTAGAAAGATGAACATGTTTATATATTGCCTATAGCTGTATCTCCATTTCCTGCCAATGGGGGGCAAACCCAAAAAGTGTTTTCTATAATAGAATGATTGAACATGGAGAATGCATGACATGGCAAAAACGAGAAATTGCAGCATTTGAAATGCTTATTTAATGTTTATAAGGGTTAAATCATGTGTTATTTATAATATTACAATGAATAAGTAATAATAATTATAAAATACCAAAATTACTGTGGTGAAATAACTCTCTTACAGTAAAACCTACAGATCTAAAAAGTGGTATAAGTCAAAATCTGTTGGTTTATTGTCATTTCTTTCTTGCGATAAGATTAAATGTCAAATGCCTCCTGAAGTCACTGTGAAGAACATACAAGTAGCCTACATGGTAGAAGATGTATTATGATTAGTATTATGATATTGGTCACGTATTATGTTCCCTGTTTCTTTGTCATAATACATCTTTGAGTTGTTTTACTCAAGTAGCATCTGAGAGGGCACTAGGGTAATAGAAAGCATTAAAATGTGGAGTGCAGCTATTTACAGCTTCTTGCATTTGATTGTGAGAGAAAATAATGTCCTTGTAACACAAATTGCCTAAAGGTTAAATGCTATGACTACTACAGTACGCTTGCATGCTCTGATGCTTGCACGTATGTATATGAATAAAGAAGATAAAATGTGTATGCATGACAGATTAAAAAGATGCATGTTGAATTGCTATTCAAGTAAAACATTAGCCTGTCATGTAATAATTGTAAAAAGACATATTACTGTATATCTTAAGAACAGTATGTTCTTAGATGACATAAATAACCCATCAGCCATATTAAGTTATTCTTTCATCATTTTTTATTATAGCTCACGTACAAGCCAAGTGCATGGTTGGTCTGTTCCATTTCCCCCTAAGGACCTGACTCACTCATACCTCTAGCAAATGATGTCTTTCATTTGGCCAGCATGCGTCTCTATGCAGAATGGATATAAGGCCAGACAGGGTAAAGATGTCATTCACCACACAAATGTATGTGGCAAATGTCAGACTAAGTCATTTTAATACCTTTACTCATTTAACGTTGCAATCAAATAAATGGTTTAGATTATCTTTCATCAGTCTACAAGTGGTCCTGTTTTGAGAACGATAGCATGTCTGACTCAGATTTAATAGGCTATTATGAACACATGGGCATGTTTTGCAGGTGTTCATAAAATGAATATGAATAAAATTTCTAAGTTTACCTTAAAGGAATAGTTTGCTCAAAAATGAAAATTTGTTAAAAATGTACTCAAGTCCATCAAAGATATAAATGAGTTTGTTTCTTCATCTGAACAAATTTGGATAAATTTAGCATCACATCACTTGCTCACCAATGGATACTCTGCAGTGGATACAATGGGTGCTGTCAGAATGAGAGTCCAAACAGCTGATAAAAACCTCACGATAATCCACAACTAATCCACAGGAATCCAGTCCATCAATTAACATCTTGTGAAGTGCAAAGATGGTTGTTTGTAAGATTTCCTGCCAATGGGGGGCAAACCCAAAAAGTGTTTTCTATAATAGAATGATTGAACATGGAGAATGCATGACATGGCAAAAACGAGAAATTGCAGCATTTGAAATGCTTATTTAATGTTTCTAAGGGTTAAATAATGTGTTATTTATAATATTACAATGAATAAGTAATAATAATTATAAAATACCAAAATTACTGTGGTGAAATAACTCTCTTACAGTAAAACCTACAGATCTAAAAAGTGGTATAAGTCAAAATCTGTTGGTTTATTGTCATTTCTTTCTTGCGATAAGATTAAATGTCAAATGCCTCCTGAAGTCACTGTGAAGAACATACAAGTAGCCTACATGGTAGAAGATGTATTATGATTAGTATTATGATATTGGTCACGTATTATGTTCCCTGTTTCTTTGTCATAATACATCTTTGAGTTGTTTTACTCAAGTAGCATCTGAGAGGGCACTAGGGTAATAGAAAGCATTAAAATGTGGAGTGCAGCTATTTACAGCTTCTTGCATTTGATTGTGAGAGAAAATAATGTCCTTGTAACACAAATTGCCTAAAGGTTAAATGCTATGACTACTACAGTACGCTTGCATGCTCTGATGCTTGCACGTATGTATATGAATAAAGAAGATAAAATGTGTATGCATGACAGATTAAAAAGATGCATGTTGAATTGCTATTCAAGTAAAACATTAGCCTGTCATGTAATAATTGTAAAAAGACATATTACTGTATATCTTAAGAACGGTATGTTCTTAGATGACATAAATAACCCATCAGCCATATTAAGTTATTCTTTCATCATTTTTTATTATAGCTCACGTACAAGCCAAGTGCATGGTTGGTCTGTTCCATTTCCCCCTAAGGACCTGACTCACTCATACCTCTAGCAAATGATGTCTTTCATTTGGCCAGCATGCGTCTCTATGCAGAATGGATATAAGGCCAGACAGGGTAAAGATGTCATTCACCACACAAATGTATGTGGCAAATGTCAGACTAAGTCATTTTAATACCTTTACTCATTTAACGTTGCAATCAAATAAATGGTTTAGATTATCTTTCATCAGTCTACAAGTGGTCCTGTTTTGAGAACGATAGCATGTCTGACTCAGATTTAATAGGCTATTATGAACACATGGGCATGTTTTGCAGGTGTTCATAAAATGAATATGAATACAATTTCTAAGTTTACCTTAAAGGAATAGTTTGCTCAAAAATGAAAATTTGTTAAAAATGTACTCAAGTCCATCAAAGATATAAATGAGTTTGTTTCTTCATCTGAACAAATTTGGATAAATTTAGCATCACATCACTTGCTCACCAATGGATACTCTGCAGTGGATACAATGGGTGCTGTCAGAATGAGAGTCCAAACAGCTGATAAAAACCTCACGATAATCCACAACTAATCCACAGGAATCCAGTCCATCAATTAACATCTTGTGAAGTGCAAAGATGGTTGTTTGTAAGACACAAATCCATCATTAATGCATTATAGCTTTAAACTTTTGCTTCTCATAAAAAATATCCATAATCCATAATAATGCTTCCTCTAGTGAAAAAGTCCCTATTGTCCTCTCACATCAAAATCCACTGACATTTTTTTTTTGGAACTGTTTTGGACTGTTTTCACCTTGTAAGGTGTTTGTTCTGTGCATATTTCTCTCCTGATTAAGACGAGACTACTTTTTCACTGGAGAAAACAATTTTATGAATAGAGGACTTGTAATTTAGACTGAAAAAAATGGTTTGAAGTTAAAAATGTCTTTATTACAAATACACAGCTTTTTGCTTCACAAGACATTAATTGAGGAACTGGAGTCGTATGAATTACTTATGGATTATTGTGATGCTTTTATCAGGTCTTTGCACTCTCTTTCTGATGGCACCCATTCACTGCGAAGGATCCATCAGTGAGCAAGTGATATAATGCTAAATTTCTCCAAATCTATTCCAAAGAAGAAACAAACTCTCGATTAAATTTTCAGCAAATTTTCATTTTTAGGTGAACTATACCTTTACTAATCTCTCTCAGACACAGACACGCAAAAGGCGAGACAGACAGCCTCAGATGAACATGACATACATTTAGTTGAACCTCATCCAGGAATAACAGGCCAAAATTTGCAAGACAGAGGATGATGCATGCTTTCCATTTATCTAGGACACAATATTTAAACCTACATATTCTCTGCGTGTGTGTCTCTCGTAGCCTTCCCCGACTGCATGTGAATATCCCTCTCACACAGACATGCACGGATGCTCGAACACACACAATTTGCTGTTGAGCTGTTCCACTTGAAATCTGTCTCACTGTCGCTTCAGCTCACTTTATGGTGGGCTGTTAATTTGGGTCCTAGACTGGGAGTTGACGTCACCGGAGCTGGGGCTGGCACAATATACCCAGCTGAGGTCAGGTGCGTATGTAAAATCTATGCCAAGGAATGATTAATTGCGGAGTAGCACAATGAAAAAAAGATCCTCAATGCAAGCCCTGCCTCTGGAACAATGATTTCAGCTGTAAAGCTGCTGTGTAGGTTATTTTTAGAGCACTTTTTAATGTCATTTTCCCATTTCTCTTTTTAAGCTATACAATTGTCAGTTTATTTATTTATTTTGTGTTATCATAATAAATATAGTATATAGTATATAATAATATAGTAATTATAATAAAAAAAAATTTATTTAAAAATAAAATATTTACCAACATTATTTTTACTGTAATTGCACACATTATGTTTTTTTTATATATATATAAATGTCTCCAAAAAGTTATAAGGTAATACATTAGCTCCATTTTTTTCAAACATTTTACACATATTGTTTTTTTTTTTTTAACATCGTAAGGTAACTTACAATTAACCGACGATTTGCAGTAACACTTTTATATTATTTACTAACACTTTAGAGTGAATATTCTGCATTGAAATGTTAACTTTGGAAATTGTTTAAGAGGACAAGTCAACAGTATGCACTTGAGATGCAACACACACGCATGCGAATTAAAACTTAAATAGCATTGCGGATAAGCTCAGTATGCGGGTAAGAGTCTCTCTCTCTCTCTCTCTCTCTCTCTCTCTCTCCCCTCGTGGCTCTAGGACCCAGGAGAATAACTCCCAGGACAGTTTCTTTTTTGAGTGATGAAAAGAACCTGCTCGCATCTCCACGCAGAAGACTAAGGGGACTGTGCAAGTCAACTGGCTAGTCTGGATAGTCACCGCGCCGCCAAAGACAGATAAATTCACCCACAATCCACTCGAGGAAGATCTTCCCCCTTTTTTCTTCCATCCCTCCCTCCTCAGACTCCCTCTCCCAGACACAG